CAGCGGTAAGTTCATTTTGAGAGGAAACACAATGGCTTTTGGAAAATTAAAAACGTGTCTCGTGTTTTTGTTCTTGTTTAGTTTCAGGCCATCGCTCTAAACATTCAAGAAGTCATGGATTAAGCTTGAACAGCCGCTCTAATGAAGATGATGAAACATCACGAACTTCTGGATCGAAGATTTCCTTGCTTGCAGGTTTTCCTGTACCTAAAAACAAAGCAATATTACTACCCCCTAGCCTAACTGTTGGAGGCTATCCTTCTAAAAAGGATGGTTCTGGTCTACTTATCAGCCCATTAGGAGGTGCGCGCAGTTATGGATCAAAGAGGTCTTTAGGCCAAGGATGGCCGGCACAATATCCGCAGCCATATCTGCCTCAATATGGAAACCCTCCTTCTCCTTGGAATTACGACTATCCACGTAGGCGCGCTGGTTCCTGGTATGACCCATGGTATTATCCTGGTTCACCTCCAACATGGCGCAGACGCCCTTGGCATCATCACGACGGACGAGGCAAAGACAAAAAACGTCCAAGTCCCAAGCCGCGTCCACCATGTCGTAGGCGAACAACGACGCCTTGCCCTTACTGTCCGGAAGAACCTGATACAACAAGTGCTCAACCTGAAGAAAAAACTGTTCAACCTGCTGTAAGCACCCAACAACCTGTTGTTACAAGTGCTCAAACCGAGGCTCCTACCGCAAGCACACAACAACCTGTTGTGACAAGTGCTCAAACCGAGGCTCCTACTGCAAGCACACAACAATCTGAGGGTACAAGTGCTCAAACTGAGGCTCCTTCCTCAAGCACACAACAACCTGAGGGAACAAGTACACCAGCTCAGTTACCTGCAATAAGCACAGCAGATCCTAATGCTGAAACTATTACAACTCAAAAATCTGAAGAAACAAGTGCTCAAACCGAGGCTCCTGTCGTAAGCACAGAACAGCCTGAAGGAACAAGCGCTCAAACTGAGGTTCCTATCGCAAGCACACAACAACCTGAAGGAACAAGTGCTCAAACTGAGGCTCCTGTCGTAAGCACAGAACAGCCTGAAGGAACAAGTGCTCAAACCGATGCTCCTGTCGTAAGCACAGAACAACCTGAAGGAACAAGTGCTCAAACTGAGGCACCTACCGCAAGCACACAACAACCTGAAGGAACAAGTGCTCCAACTGAGGCTCCTAATGCAAGCACAGAACAGCCTGAAGGAACAAGCGCTCAAACTGAGGCTCCTATCGCAAGCACACAACAACCTGAAGGAACAAGTGCTCAAACTGAGGCTCCTGTCGTAAGCACAGAACAGCCTGAAGGGACAAGCGCTCAAACTGAGGCACCTACCGCAAGCACACAACAACCTGAAGGAACAAGTGCTCAAACTGAGGCTCCTACCGCAAGCACACAACAACCTGAAGGAACAAGTGCTCAAACCGATGCTCCTATCGTAAGCACAGAACAGCCTGACAGCTCAACCGTTCCACCTCCAGCAAGCACTGAACAATCTCAGGGAACAAGTACATCAACTGAGCTTCCTGCAGTAAGCACAGCAGATCCTAATGCTGAAACTATTAACACAGAAGGAACAACTGCTTTACCCGAAGTAAGCACCCAAGAACCTGAAGGAACCACCCTTCAACCAGCCTCAAGCACACAACAATCAGAAGGAACAAGTGCCAGTACTGAAGCAACTGAAGCAAGCACGCAAGATCCTATAATATCTACAGAGAGCACCGAGGGAACTAGTGAAAAACCCGAAGAGACTAGCAAGCCAACCGTAAGACCTCCGCAACACGATGATCCCGATACATCTACAAGCATCACTGAAGAGCCTGTAGTAAGCACTACACAGGGCATTGATGATTCTGAGATTACAACGGAACAGTCTGAGGAGCCTAAATTAAGCACTACTCCAGCTAAGGATGAAACTGATAGACCTGAAAGTAGCACAACATCAATCACTGAAGCACCCCTTAACAATAGTACTACTGCACCATCAGTAACCACCGAACGAGAAGTGAGCACAACCACTAAGGATGAAACTGATAGACCTGAAAGTAGCACAACATCAATCACTGAAGCACCCCTTAACAATAGTACTACTGCATCATCAGTAACCACCGAACGAGAAGTGAGCACAACCACTATTAACCCTTGCAATAAACCAGCGAAACCAGGTTGCGATTGTGGTTGTTGTAAGAAAGTAAAAACAGTAGCCTTGTTGTTGTACTCTTCCGCCGAACAAGGCGGTAATATTGCCGAAGGCAAAAAACCGAATTGTTCTCACAACTGCCAAGGCAATACACCACTCGATCTATTTTCACAACTTATTGCTAAGCTCAGTTTAAATTAAGAGTGGACAATGGTGGGCTAAAATATCGAAATATAATTATTTAAAAAATATTTATTTCATTGTTTATTGATTTAAGATATTATTTATAATGATTTATAAATATTTATATATTAAGGCAAGGTGTTGGAGACTCATTAATCATTTTTCGCATTCGCTCACACTATCATCATACTCACAACTAAGCTTGTTGAGATTATAAATCGCTCAAGTGAAATAAAATCGATTTTTAGACCAATCTTTAGCTGTTTTGGTTGCCAGAGAGAAAGAGAGTAATAGGGAACGCATATCAAGCATTTGGTGAATCTCAAATTGAATTACTTCAGCGCAGTTGTGCTTGTAATCTCGCAAATAGTCGCCGGTTAGCTGTGATGCCTTATAAACAGTTCACTCTTTCAGCGGTCGGTGGCAGAATATTTTGCGGCTTCTACCTTGCCAGAGGAGAAGTAGGTCTTCACCACGCCTACACGAGTAATTTCTCGTCATCTCCTAATTTTTTTTCATACATTATTATTAATTTTTTTTTTATTGGAATTTTTTTCACTTTAAGTATATTAAAAATTAGTTACACTTAATTTTTTTTAGTTTTAAACTGTTTTCATTGGCAACTCGTAGTTTACTTTGACCCCTACTTTATTGTTCAGATTATATCGATTTATGCGCCGATCGTACTAATGCACGCATCTCTATTTTCCTGCCGAATTATATTGTAAGCAATGAGCAGGAAAATATTCAGTTGTAGTGCTTAGTAATCTCGTTGGCTTTGTCAGTTGATTTGTGTTGAAAGTGTTTACGCGTATTAAGCTGCATCCGGTGGTTTTATTAATGCAGAAACTAAAATTCGATTCGTTCGTTGGTTGGCTTAACCCGAAGCGCCAAGCTGCCGCCACGTGGTTGTTAATTATGGACGCCATTCGGTGCTGTGCGAATAGTTAAACATATTGCAAATCTTCGGTTGCAGGTTGCTTTTCACATGAAAACTCAGCTTTTATGGACGCAAAAAAGGCATTTGTATTATACACAACAAATTGTCTTGTGTTCTATTACAAAATGCGATGTTGTTTTTTTATTATCGAAAAACGAAGACACAATTGATAATTATGATTTGCTTGCGCTAAAGATGCCTTTACATGGGCCTATTTTTACCGAGAGAAGTCGATTAGGTAAAGCATTTACACCAGACAACAAAAGTTTTATTTTAAATTAAGAAACTAGTGGAGCTGCAGTTCGTTGATCGAGTGAATATTTTTTTTTACGTACTTTTATGAAACCATTTGATGCAGAAAATCATTGAAATTATAGTGCCACGAAAAAATAAATGCAATTTCTTTTTATAAAAAAACGGAACAATAAAGTAGGGGCCAAAGTAAACTACGAGTTGCCAATGAAAACAGTTTAAAACTAAAAATAATCAAATGTAACTAATTTTTAGTGTACCTTAAGTGGAAAAATTCCAATAAAAAAAAATAATTAATAATAATGTATGAAAAAAAATAGGAGATGACGAGAACTTGCTTAATACTCACGAATTTTCATCACATAAATCATGCTCCGATTTCCACATCCACATACATCTTTGTGAATTGAACTCGAGTGCCGTGTCGTGAAGTAATTGTTAAAATTAACAGTTTGTCTTTCTAAAAATTTGTTAATGTTCATAGTATATGTTTCACCAAACTTCATGGGATACAGATACATCATTCAAACTGAAAGGAGCAGTGAGAGGTTAACAGCTTCTTGCGTACTGTTAAAACGATAAATGATATATATGATATATATTTATGTGTGATAAAAAATGTAGTGTGTCAAAAATGAAGTGTGAGTGCAAAGATTGTGCGTAAAAAAGGTGGAATTAGTCAATGACGAAATTTGTGATAATGAGATAACCTCAACTCACAGGAAATTTTTGAAACCAGATTGTGGAATCGAAATCACTCCAGCAATTATTTCCCAAAACTATATTTGGGGAATATTTTCTGTTATTACAACTACAACGACAATAGAAACCCTCATCAGCAGCCTGATTCACTTGATGCGCAACACAAAATATTTGCCATAATCATTTCTTTCATGAGGCATTAAGATCGATTATTCATTCAAATTTCATTCATTCGACGCCATTTTTTAGTTCAATCGAAAATTTATCGATAAAAATGATCAAAATAAGTAGGAAAACAAATTATAAGTTAATCGAACGATACAAAAAACTTTAAAAAACACTAAAGTGCCGTGTAAACCGGCAGATGCCAATGGTAAATCAAGAAGAAGAAATTACTACGGCAGCGAATTCAAATTGTTTTCTATTGATCGAGCGTGTTGATTGTCAAAATTATTGTTTAGTTTACGCGAAAGCATGTAAATCTTGAATAGAAAGTTTGTGCGTTTAGGAAAAATTAATTCGAAAATTTTGACAGCTGCTATGTAAAAGCAAAAACAAATTACACTCTCGTAGATGTTCCCCTGCTCTAGCCATTACAAATTCGACTTGGTTGATTCGCTGTACAAGCTTAAAAGGGCAAATTACAAGAATTGCTTGTCGCTAAAATATCGTTTTAAGTTATAAATTGAATATTTTGATTCCGATATGATTTATTTTATTCCAAAATTTACATGGTACCTGGAAAATTAATAATTTACAGATCTAAGAAAAACGAAATATTTCCTTATTCTCCTCCGACAAAGTATTGACATGCAGTAGAAGTGTGCACATCATGCATTATGCCATAAAACTACAATTACTTATCACCTATGACTATATAAACACTAAATTAATATTAGTTATTGTATTTCGTGTTTTTTTTTTTAGTTTTAGTAATTTTTTTTTTTACACACATTAAGTCATGTGATAAAGTTTCGTATCACCAACAATATCAACATCACTGCTCTCATCATCATCATCCTCCTCATCCTCATCGATATCCGAATAATCGTCCGTCGAGTAATCGTGTTGCAGAAAACCCATTGCATTGTCCAAATTGCCACTCGAAATGTTGCGTAGCATTTGTAAATGTTGCTGATGTGCTGAAACATTGTGGTTGCCATGCGGCATTAGCTGAGAGTGATGATGATGTTGCTGATGAGGATGATGCTGCTGATGAGGGTGGTGGTCGTGGGGGCCAAGTAAAGCGTCACCAACGCCAACGCCAACAGCGCTATTATTATTTGTATTATTACTATTTTTATTATTGCCACGTAAATGTAAATGTGTTGAATGTGAGTGTGGGTGTGCACTTTGTTGTTGTTGTTGTTGTTGCTGTTCACGTGCATAAGCCTGCGCAGCAAATGCCTTCTCAACGCCATTTGTATTTTCAACTCCATTATTATTGCCAGTGCCGTTCGAATTGCCGTTTTGATGTGCGTTGTTATTGTTGTTGTGCTGGCTGCTGTTAGCGGATGTCATGGTAGTATTATTATTATTACTGCTCTTTACGCTGTGACTACTACTGCTGCCGCTGCCGCTGCCGCTGCCGCTGCCGTCCGAACGTGAAAAGTCAACGGGTTCTGCGAATGGAATTTCATACAAAAATAAATAAATAAATAAATTGCATATTAATTTGAGTTGTTAGTTGCTGTGGAAGTTCTTCAAACTTTTGTGCACTTTTCGTAAATGCAATTATTAAGAAATATTTCGTGCCATAAAAGTCGTAGTGCAATTTTAATGGACACAAAAAGTTTGGTCGGCATTTTCTTGAAGACTTGACAAAGGAAATACAATTTTCTTATGCTTTTGGTGTTTCTGTATATATGTATGCATATAATGGAAGGAGTGCTGTTTTCACTTAAAAATTGTTTAGTTTTACGTTGTTGTTTTAAAAAAAAAAAGGTTATTTTTCCTACGTTTCTAAAAGTGATTTCGTGCAAGTGACCGCCGAAGTGGCTGGGTCGAATTAATTCCAGTCGAGAGGTCCAATTTTCCACCACACTTTGCAGCAATTGTTGCCGTATGTCAGCAAAAACGCGACAAATATTCTCTGCCAAGGTGTCAATCGCCCCTGGCGTGTCTGTGTAGACAAGTGACTTTAACATAACCACACAAAAAATTGTCCAGTATTGCTAAATCGCACAATCCTGGCCGGCACATTGCGAAATAATGCACTCACTAAAAATTTCCTTCAATAAATTGAGTGTTTCCTTGGCGCCGTCTTGTTAGACAACCAGAGGTCAGGTCGTCCATAACAAAATCATCCAATTCAGACAGGAAAACGTATTGAAGCTGGGCTCTGTAGCGTTCCCCACTGATTGTAGCATTATGGCCGGCTTTATTTTTGAAGATGCATGAGTTCACATCAAACAGTGACTTTTTGGGAACGTAAACGTGGCTCATCAATGAGCTTTAGATTATTATCACTCCAGATGCGACAATTTTGGTTTATTACTTACAATAAAATCGTTAAAAAAAAAGTTTCTCAACTCGTCTTGGACCCAACGTGTAACGCGTCGTTCGGCTTCAACTCTTGCTAGAGTGGGATTTTACAAGCACGCAAGCCAAGCTTCTTCCCAAAAATCTTCCATAAACTGGGTGAGCACAGCTCCGATTTTGCGCGCATTCGGGGATGAACTCATTTGGGTCTTCTTTGATATTAACCAAGAGAGTGTAAGCCAACAGGTCTATTCTTCAATGTCACTTGGTCTGCAATCCTACCAATTCGCTAGGTTTTTGTTAGGTTCATCGAGAGAAGAAAGTTACCACCACCCAAACAAGTTCGCAGCAATCATGCTCGCTTTTAGAGAGAGTCTATATTGATGTAAAATTTGTGGTGTGCGTGTTGGTGTTTCCCAAAAGTGGAGTAAACCAGAGTTAATTCTAAGCTACTTCCGAATGGCTGTGCTAGAAATATGCTCGGATGGATTGAAATCCATAGTGGAGGCGCGACTACACTTAGAAAAAATTATTTTCTATAACTTGGAGGTTGGTCGAACCGAGCCTCGTACTCTGGACTGTTAGTCACTCGGCGTTTGCAGCGAATATAATGTGAAAGAAAACAGTATTGCTCCGCCACTTTTTGATGGGCATCAATTTACGGTTCTGGTTACCCCTAATCCAACTAAACTTTTCATAACATGTCTACCTGGAAAGATTAGAATCAACCCTTACAGAACTGACTGGCACGTAACATGCACAGCCAATTTATTGATCCCTTTAGGTTCTCGGAGAATCGGGTTACTGAAACCGAAGTCTTTTATATAGTAAGTTCGCTACAAAGATCTCTGATCTTTCCTACATAGCTGATTTCTCCAAACAGCTATTGGTAGACACGTCGTTTCCGGAAATCGTTTGTGTGACTAATAATAATTTTTTTTTTTAGATCAAAGTTCAGGCACTTTAGCATGTTTTACAGTGCTACCTAACCTCAAAGCAACAGTTCAGCTAAGTTAAGTTAACTCGAGCAAAAGATAGATGTCTTCATCCGTCTTCGGTATATTTGTAGATAAACAAAAGAATAACTCACCGTTTGTATTATCTCGCCGCCGCAGCTGTTTCTTATGTTTCATACGACGGTTTTGAAACCACGTCTTCACCTGCGTCTCACTCAGTCCCAAGGCGGTTGCCAATTCGACGCGTTCCGGCGTAGAGAGATAACGCTGCGCCTCGAAACGCTTTTCCAGTCCCGACAGCTGTGGATCACTGAAAACTGTACGCGCTTTACGCCGCCGACAATGACGCAGCGCATTCACGCCCATGCCTAAGCCCAAAGCGAGTTCGGGTACACAACCGGCACCACCAAAGAGATGACCGCCACCGAAAAGGCTTGCTAAAAAAAAAAAGGTTATACAAATATTTATTTACTACTAATTTGCATTGGCATTTGCCCTGCCTAATTGAGTTTGGTCTGCCAAAAGTTTGGTGTTTCTAATTTGTATATAACTTTGTCCAAATAATAGGTGCGCATGTGGTGTAAATTATATTACTTGCTCAAGTGCCTATGTGTGTCTTTTGTGGCAACTTACCCTGCGACAGAAAATAAGGGTCCACTGATTTGTAGGCACCCGATGAGGGTGACAAATAGCCGAGGGTCATCTGCAGGAAACCATGGTCACTGTAAGCGGCACTTGGGTACAACACCGATGCTGGATGTGCATGTTGTGGCGCTGGTGGTGGTAATTGTGGTGGTAGTGGTGGCGGTGGCGGCGGTGCAGCTGTTGGCACTTGCTGTGCCGCTTGTGGCAAGTAGTTGCCGATGGGAGGACTATGTTGTGTGGGCAGCAGTGCAGTGACGTTCCCACTGCTGTTGCTGTTGTTATTTCCATGTGTGGCGCTTGATGCGTGCAACGGTGTTGGCGACGGCAGTGAGGTGGACGAAGTGGATGAAAGCGAAGAGGATGCGGTGAAAGCGGTGGACAAACTAGCACGTTCGCTCGGCTTGAAACTGTACGGAGGAAAGAGTGCATAAAATTAAAAATAAATTTGTGGAAAACTACATAAAAAAAGAGTAAGCAGAAGATGAAGGCGTTTGAAGACAGTGCTGAAACTTCACAATACCCTTGTGCTATTAAAAAATGATTATGTACCAGCAATGCAAAGTGACATCTTCCTCCACGCGGTTACGTGGCTATAACGTAGACTTTAAGCACTCTTAACCATGCCGTATGATCTATGAATGCTCCCTTATTGCCCCACACATTACTTTCAGGGACCAGAGACTCCTGGAAGTACCGATTGTCTGTCTCCCGTGGACATATTAAACTCATTACTGTCAGATCTTATCACTGGGACTCGTTTTATAAACTACGTTCGATATACTGACAATCGAACGAGTTTTCATCTTAAATCTCCTCTGCAAACCGCACAAAACCAGACTTTTCATTAGCTCTTTCCTACTCATTTCCTTAACCTTCGCTACACATTAGAGAGTAAACTATGACGCAGTTGCATAGCCTATAATACGATTCCTATTCGATCTTCGATTATGGATGACCAGCCAGCGAAGCCAGCTTCTCACGCCGACGATGAGCGAGGTCACGATGCAGAGAATGTAAAGAATCCATGCTAGAAAGATCAAATAGAGCATCATACGGTTTGTTGAAGCAGCAGGAAGCAGAAGAGCCAGTCGAATTGTTGAAAGATGATTTAACTTGAAACTAAATCAAATCAACACAGCGCTATCTCGCGATATTTTCAATCCTGCTAACAGCACCACAGACCATAAATTCACTAAGGGCCTAAACCTAGAAAAATTCCAGGAGAAAAGGCACCACGGCGATTACAATGCTGCTCTTAATAGCAAGAAAAGGAGATGCTTCTACGTCGCTATGCCTGAATAGGCATCCTCATTTACCAACAGTCCAAAAAGTTGATTAAGATCGAGAAGCAACTTCCTCCGTCGATCGATCCTCTAGTCGGATTACATAGTCTTAACCATTTCGGCGCTGTATTTTTTCGTCTATCAAACTTAACTGCTAAACCGAATTTATTTTGTTTAGTTAAAAGTGAGGCTTTTAAGAAAACACGGCCACGTTTCGTGCTCCATAAGCTGCACATAACCGGCTAACTACTCAAGATTCGGGTAAAATTTTACAGAGTGTAGAAGAGACAGATATTGTAAGGACTGGGCATCATCGTTTTGCTCGTTCTGTCTCATATATCGTTACTAAAAGTGAAAGTATAGCCGCATACACGAATGTGTCTATTTGTCGACATTTTCAAAAGCTGGAAATTTCAATTGCAGAGCACGACTTGAGAGAGAGATATTTCCCGGCGGTATAACTTCTCGTCTCGACGATGTCAATTGGCCTCCGAAATCGTGCGATTCGGCACCGTTGGACTTCTTTGTGTGTTACTACGCGAAAAACCAAGTTTAAAAAAGAACAAACTTTTAAGTCTTGAGCACTTGAACACCAAATTCGTTAAATTATGGTTGAGATACTAACCAATATATGCCAAAAAGTGGTCGAAAATTAATTCAAATTTGCTTAAATTCGCGAGTCGGTCATTTGAATGTTCAATTTTCATAATAAAAAAATAGTTTCAGGGAAAAAAATATTTGAAATGCACTTTATTTACGTTTATTTTCGAAACCGCAAAATAGATAATACTGTATATAAAAAATATATGTATTTGCTGCTGAAACGATTTCCAGCCGAGCTCTTCCTCCGATTTGTGCTGTGCGTTTTTATGGGTTTCCAACAAATGAAGCGATCCACAGTTGAATCTAAGCCGCCTCTGAACGGAAGACGGATTTTTATAAGAAGCTTTTATTTCACGCTGGACATACATTCGGAGGGCTTGACATTCCCTTCATAAAAGTGAGAGTATCAAGCGTTATAAAAAAATTTTACAAAATAGTTTCGCTCATAATTTTTTGAGCAACTTGGGGGAGCCAACGGCAATTGGCGGAATGAAACCAAGTGGTAAGTAATCAGACAAATTTTGAAATTCTTCAAAGTGAACATAATTAAGTATTTACTCCTTCTAAATAGAACTCCTTCCATAAGCTAACAATTGGGGGAGCTAAGGATATGAGGAGGGCTGCTTCTCAAACGACTTTTGTCGCAACAGTGGAACATTACCTCTGCCACTGCCCAGCTCTCAAGGTGGTCCGTTAACGTTTTCTCGGAAATTTCTACTTTGATTGCCTTTCACCTTGTTGTTGTACCTGTAAATATCATTAATGTCCTTAACTTCATAAAGAACACCAAATGTTTTGATCAACTGGAAAAGTGAGAAGAATCACCATCACAAGACCAACAGAGGTCACAACGGGCGAGTAGGCAAGAGTGCGCTTGATTAAGGTTGCATGGTCCAGAAACCCGCTTAACAAAGTAAATGGCTAGATCTTCAAAACTACATAAATTTAGAAATCGATTTAAATTTTGCTGAGGGTCTATTACCATTTCCAATAATTTTAGTATTTTCAGAGCCCCAAATGATAAAATTTTGCTTATTAACGTAACTTCCGAATGCGAAATGTACCCCGCGGTTCGAAAAATTACGGTCCATTGGTTGCTATTCAAGAGAGGCTGGTAATCTCTTCTTAAGGCCACGTTCCGTGCCACATTTGAATTCCCATTTTTATTGTAGGTTTCAACAGTTTTAATGCGGTGTGCAGTTGTTAGCGCTGCATTTTCATAAATGCTTGACTTTTAACTAAAACAAAACATGTTTAGATTAACAGTTAAGTATGAGGGAGGTGTCAAAATACAGTACTATACTTTTGAAACCACGAAAGGAATGTTAGAAACAATGAAATTTAATTTGTATTTAGAAGACACTTTTTTCTATTACTTTAATTTTGATTTTAATTTCCTTTTTTATTTTGATTTTTACTTTTAATTTATTTATTATTATTTTTATTTTGGTTTATTGTAATTGCAAATATAATTATTATTAAATTTTAATTTGAATTTTAATTTTAATTTGAATTTGAATTTTAATTTTAATTTGAATTTGAATTTTAATTTTAATTTTAATTTTAATTTGAATTTGAATTTGAATTTGAATTTGAATTTTAATTTTAATTTTAATTTTAATTTTAATTTTAATTTAGTTTTAATTTTATTTTCATCTTATTTAATTTTTTGTTTTTTATTTTGTTTTTTTTTTTTTTTTGTTTAATTATAACTTTTATATTAATTCTATTTTAATTTTTTTTATAATACTAAGTTTAGTTATAATATTAATATTATTTGAAATTTAATCATAATTCGTATTTATTTTTCATTTTAAGCTCGTTTTCAATTTAAATTTTTTTTTTTAAATTTCCCTTTAATGCAATGTAAAATTTACTTAAATTTTATGAATATCATTTTTGTTTTCGAATTAAAAATTTCATTTAAATTTACCGTTGGTGTGCCACAAGCCTCGCATATGCCTCCGTATCATCCAATGATCTTGTTGGCGATTGCTTTTGCTGCAGATGTTGTTGTTGTTGTAGCGACGGCTGTTGTGATTTTGGTGTTTTAATATCACTATCACAATTATTTTTGACAAATTTGCCAATTGCAGATTTCACTTTTATACCACTATCACTAACACCGTGATTATTACTATTACTATTATTATTGTTGTTGTTGTTGTTGTTGTTGTTATTATTTAAATTTTGACACAAAATATGTTCAATCGAAAACGGTGTTTTTGCATTAACCGTTGTCGTTGACTGTTGTTTGACAGCGGCCGCGGCACCGCCGGCATTATTGCTATGATTGGCGGCGGATACGAGCGCGTGAGGTGAGCCGTTGACACGCTCACTAATTTGTGTAGACATTTTTTTGTTTTGCTGTTTATTTATTTTATTGACAACTTGAAGTAATTGTAAATTTTTAATAATTTTTCTGCAACACTTAAATCATTCCTTTGAAACTCACAAATCCTTACGCTGGCCAAGGCAAATCGCAAAGTCGCGCGTTCCGCATTCGTTGACAGTTGAGCGCGTTTTGTTGGCTCAATCACCGCACAACAACCGTAAATCACTCTAAATTGCCACGATGATGACTGCAATCGTGCGTGCCGTTGCACCACCACCACCACCGCCAGCTCCAAAAAATATCCTTCAACAAAGGCAGCAGCTTCCGGCCTCGCCTCCTCACAATTTATGTGCTCTTATGAGTAAATTGCAATGGAAACGAATGCCCTCAACGCTGCATTGCACCCACTCATAACCACATCAAATGCGAAAATTATCCTGTACGCTATCCTCAAGAATAACAGCAACAGCTACAACATCAAACTGAAACCACCCCACGAACTGCGGCGCTCTTACTCTTCCTTTCTTTCGCATTTGTACACACCCACTGCTTTCCGCTTTACATGGATCGTATGCGTATATTTGTCCTTTATTGCCATCTCTCTTGCACGCTGCTACGTAATGTCATGCCATTGCGGCGCCCTCGATTTTCTCATTTAGTCACATTGCATACCGCATTTTCCCCATTCAGCTTACAAATAATTTTCTCAAATTAACAAGGAAATTTAGCCTTAACTGGGCTATTATTATTTATTATATCTTTTTTTTCGCTCCAATAAATTGTATGCACACACATATAGGTACATACATACATAGAAGGATATTTTTATACAAATGGCTGTATAGCAATACACGGCAGGACCTCTTTAGCTTTTTCATATATTTTTATATTATATTTTTAATTATGTGAATGTATGTGTGTTTCTATATCATCGACATGTGTACGTAGCTACCATATGGAATTCTCCATAAATTTAAAATCTTTAAAGAAATATTTTTCAATAAAAAGTCAAAAATTTAAGAAAGGAGGATTTAATATCGCCTGAGAAGGACATTGTCTAACGGTGTTTTTGTTGCTCGATGCGCACAAAGGGACAATATCATCAGCAGTTTAAAAGATCCGCGTTGATTAGCATTAGTAAGCCACTTAAAACCCGACGGAATCTACGACTTGAACTTAAACTTGA